TGCCTCATGAAGCCTTCACCCAGATGCAGCCACTCCATGGCTATGCAGGACGTGGCCTGTTAAGTGGGAGAAGGGTCTCTGGTCCCAGTTCACTGCCCTGACCTGTTCAAGCAGCAATCTGGGTACAAACCCAGAGAAAGGCATGGGAATATCAGAAAAGGAAAGCTGGATCAATGTAAGTCGGAGAGGGATGGAAGGGGAACAGCCTGGGGAAGAAATGGCTATGCAGGTCAGCAGTATGGGAGGAAGGAAAACAGAAAAGAGAGATAGGAAAACAGCTGGCAAAATGGGAAGAGGGTGATGCTGCAGGTGCAGGAAAGCAGTGTTAGAGCAAGAGGTGGTAGGAATACAATGGAAGAAGCAGCAGAAAGACATGATGGAGAAGAATAGAGGGAGAAACTGGGCGGGGGTATAAGGGAAGGGAGCCTGAGACAGGTAAAGGAAGAGACATACAACACAATCAGTGGTGTGGGAGCAGCAGCAGGTGAGGAAAGCAGCACAAGGCATGTTTGGCCTGGGAGAAGGCAGAATAGAGTGTCTCTGGAATGTAGAAACAACTTTTACCTATAGGAGAAATTTTAGCAGAATAAGTTTGGACTTTTTGTGAGATGTAGAAGAAAAAGTAAGAGATTAGATCCACTATTCCCAGATGCTGCAGTATGCATCTATGTGGTACTCCATAGTGGCAAACAAATAGGATTGAGGTAAAGAACTTAATGTGTTCCAGAAGTGAGAGACAAAACAAGTATTTCTCTTCATCCTAACGGAGAACTGGGGTCCAGAGATGAGAGATAACCTGACCGAGGTCACTCCAGAAGGCTGCAGCAGAGCTGGGATGATAGCCGCAGGTTCTCAGGCTGTTCTAACTCTCAGCTGCCTAATCTTCAGGAATCTGGCTAGAGACAATACAGGCTGTTATTTTAAAGAAACTCAGATAAAGAAATATGTATTTTTAAATTGCAAAAGTAATTGTGGCTTTTCTCTCTTCTCAGTTGTTGGACTTTAAGGTGTGCTGGATGTAACAGCCTTGGGCTTTTCAATCCAATAACCTGTGCACCACTCATGGAAAGGAAAACTATGCCAAAATGGCTTGAGCATCTCAGAGTGGTGAACAGCTCTAATGGAGACTACTGTGCCTATAGCAAAAGCTCGAAGCAGCTTTCTCATAAATCCTACTTTAAAGCATTGTGTACTAATTTCTCAATAGTATGTGACACTGACTACCCGGAAAATAAAATATGGAGTGTGACAGAATACAAAAGGGCTAAGCTACAGATTCATGAAACCGTTGCATTTTAAACCTCAATAGAGAGTCATATTTTCTTCTATTGTCTAAGAAAACATGTTTTTTCCTAATTGGCCAAAGTGGGATTAGAAGCTGTGAAAGCCATACACTTTATAAAGCCTTCTGGGAGCTTACAAAAGGCAGATATTTTCATGTACATCATCAGTGGAACCCCAAGTCATGCAGCTTCTCTGTGGTACAAACTAACAAGGAGCTGGAGAAATATGAGCACAGAGCTTCCCCATTTTCTTCAGTTTTTGGACAGTGGAGCTCATCCCTCCTTCTGTGCCACAGTAAGGACACCCTGGACCCCTAACATGAACCCTTATCATGGTTCTCCCGAACCCTCTGTGGTTGCTTCTTGGAGTGGAGAAAATGTCAGTCATAGGATCATAGGACAATTCATGTGGGAAGAGACCCCAGGAGGTCTCAGGTAAAACCCCTTGCCCAAAGCAGAGTCAGCTATGGGATATGGGATCCTACCAGCTTGCTCAGGGCTTTGTCCAATCTGGTCTGCAGAGTCTCTCTGGGTAGCCTCTGCCACCACCCCACTGTACTCATGGGTAAAAGGTTTCTCCTTATATGCAGTCTGAAATTTTCATTTCAAGTTTTGCTTGTTGTCTCTTGTTCATCTGCCACACAGCACAGTGAACAGCCTGGCTCTATCTTTTTAGCAACCTCCCTGTGGGTTCTGTGGGGCTGCTGCTAGGTTCACACCCCAAGCTTCCTCTCCCCAGGCTGAATAAGTCCTGTTCTCCCACCTCTCCTGAGCAGGGCAAGTGCTTCAGGCCCCAGGCCTCTTGATGGCCCTCCACTGAACTCACTGGTTTGTCCATGTCTGCCTGATATTTCAGAGACCAAATCTGGATGCCAGGTTAGATCCCTGTGGTACCCTGCTTTGTACTGGCCTCCATGCAACCTGTCAACTGCCACCCACTAGGCCTGATCATCCAACCAGTTTCTCCGTCATCCCAACCGTAATGGTCCAATGAAGACATTAACATGACTTTTCAAATTTCCAGAGCACCTTCCACTGGGGAATGTTTCATACAGTAATGCATGGAGGCTCCTGCTTGGTCTGTGACAATAGACATCATTACTACCATTTTGGAGCTCAAAGCAGAGACGTGGAATAAATTGATCTAGATCAAGAAAAGAGTCTTAGGCAAGGTTAGGAACAGAACAGACAGCAATTGGCTCCTCGTCATAGTCTTGCACACAACTCTCCTGCACACAACTCATGGATGTCCTTCCACAGGAAGATTTCATCTGCATGTATCTTATTTCACACAGAATACTGAGAGAGTCCGACACCAGTCAAAAAATCCCTGGTGTCTGCTCACAAATTTTGGAGTAATTTAAATCCCTAGTAATAAAAGCTGTATGCTGTTTATTTAGCCCGGCTCTTTTAATGTGCTGTTTGTTGTCTTGATAGTCTATGTCTTCTTCATATTGTAATCATATTAAAAGAGCATTCTTTTCCTGGAATAAAGAGGTAATGATTCACAAGAGGCATAATTATTCCATGCAGTGCAGGCAGGATGCTGCAGAAAGAGCCGTCTTCTTTATGCGTAAGAGGCTATTATTGCAAGTGTTCTACACAGTAATTAAATTCCTTTGAATGAGGAGGCTTGATTGGATTTTCTTTGGTTTATTGGGAGGAGTCTGAAAAGCAAGGTATTTAGCTCAATCACTATATAATTTTGGCATCTGTTGGAGGTTAGGGAGAAAGGTTCAGGGTGTCTGATTCCCATTTCTCTTACGTGTTATGTTAGCTGAACTCCACTGAATTCAGTTGAATTACACCCTATCTGAATTTGTGTGAGAATCAAGCTCAAAAACCCCTGGCAGGAAACAGCAGTAGACCTGAAAGTGTGCTTTAAGAATCCAAATAATCTAAGGGAAAAAAGCCTTGCTAAAGGAAAGTTACTTGCAGTTTCAAAGGCAAGTGTCCAAAAGCGAGGAAACTTTACATTTACAGCTTTTCCTCAAATCTGATGTTTGCCTTATGGCGAGTCCAGTCTTGGCCCAAAGTGGGACAAAGTTTTGAAAGACAGCAGCAAGAAAATAAAAAGTCAGGCAATCATGTAACAAAAATCTGTTCTGTGGCTTAACACCCAAGCCAGGATGCTGGCATGGCACAACTCTTTAGTATTTGAGTTGTCGAACTAAATCATGTTTGTTTAACATCAGCTACTGTACACAGTTGCCAAGTAGGTTTTGGGTTTTCTTTTTAAAGGAAAAGAGTAAAAATGTAAATTAAAAGGAAAACTCTGCTACATACAGCCTCAACATCTATTAGCAATGTAGTTTTTGCCTTACGGCAGGAATTACAGCATAAATTCTTGTTATTCAATAAGGCTATGTCAGGAGGAGGGTGTTGCTCAGGCAGGGAAGATGGTGTGTGACACCCTGGGGGTAATTTCACCCTGCTTAGATGTCTCTGGAGGGAGCATACGCATGATGAGGAAAGTGGACTTTTCAACAGCTCAGAGAAACATCTTGGGGCAATGGAAGGCACTTCCCTAATCTAGGGGCTCCCTGCCTGCCAGGTGTTAACACCCAGTGAGAGTGGGAATATCTAAATTACAGATTGCCGGTAGTGTTCTGTGAAGGTTGGGATCTTAGAGAGGTTTCCAGGAGCTCTGCTGGTATCCCAGTAGTGATAAACCTGGGGCTGAGTGAGAGGAGGGCTGGTTTTGCAGGGAAAACAGCAGTGGGAACGAGGAGGAAGACCTTTGATAATCTTTTGATGAAGAAAAAAAAAAGGCAAATAGGAAGGAGCTTGAATATCGATGCCTGTTGGGAGGAGACTGGGGCTGGCCAGAGGAGGACAATGACATGAACTTGGAAGTGACTGACCTGGACCTAGGTCTGAGAAGAACTGGCAAAAAGAAGTCTGTACACTGCAAAACCTTAGACTAGACCTGCCTCATGCCTGTCCATTAGACCCCAAACCCCATAGGGGAATATAATTCTCTAAAATAGGTCCTTAAGTGCAGAATTTGGTTTATTATGAGGAATCTGAAAAGCAAGGTATTTAGCTCCTACCTAATGTGAAAAGTACAATGCAGAGGAGAGGAACCATAGCAATGGTCTGCAATCATCTGTGATGTCAGCGTGCTTGTCCGAACCAAGTCAGATCCAAGTGACTCCCTTACACATATATGTCTGTGATAAACCTTGGGTGTACTCTTCAGTCATCCTTGCAGGATACCAGGCCTGATGGATGTCTGTGGCTGAGGATACTTCTGATTCATTCTAATTGCAGCCAGAATGCTTCGGTTTATTACCTTCACTCCCTCCTACTGGCTGCCAGGCATGAACCCAACAAACTTGTCCCATTGTCCTCCCCCACCTCTTTCCTTTCAATCCTCTAGTCTTGGTGGTATTCAAGGAGCACCATAAGGCAAATGGGACCCGCCAGTCCGTGGCCCAGGACTTTACAGAGCATATGCTGTAAGCTGACATGGATGACTCACATTAAGCCATAGTTTTCCTGTTGTGACTCTACTGACCTCTGAGTGGTTGTGCTTCCCTTCATTAATTCTTAGCAAGGATCCCTCTTGGAGCCAGCTATCTGTACAGAAAGTTGGAAATGGAGCTATACTTTTTGATCAAAAAAAAGGGAATTTTGAAAAAAAAATTTCACAGACTGAATTAAAATTGGTTTTGTTTTACTGATGTTTCTTTTGTGTCTGGACTTCCTGAGTAGAAACAGTTATACCTGAGGACTACCTGGTTGATCCTGCAAACTGGAAGCAGTACAGCCTGGATCCTGCCAATGCTGCCTTCGGTTGCATGGGTTCCATGTACACTGTGCATCAGAGTCCTGCAGATGGACATCCTGCTGGAGGCTCCTCTTCCTCCTGTAGCCATCATCCTGCTCAAATGTCTTCAGGGGGGTCCTCATCTACTGGCTTGCGGCATCAGAATTCCAGCCCAACAAGGAATGGGGCCTGTCTTGAAGGAAATAGAAGTGGTAATAAAACATCTTCCATTTAGTGATGTGCTATGCAGGTGCTGTGCTGGAATCTCAACTCATTCCCAAATTCGCTAGAAAATTAGTGAGGTAGTTCTGTGATAGAATCCATCCAGACCACTCATGCTTCCACTTAGGAGAAATAATAACCTAGGTAAACACAAAATCAATCTGTTCATCATTAAATAAAAAGGTGAATGTTTCCTGAAGCTGTTATTATGTAAAGATATGTATTATGTATAATTGTGTGGCAATCACAACTGTTATTATCAACTTAGAGATATAAATATTAATATATAAAGCTCTCCTCCTAATTGATTGATACTGCCTACTGGCAGGTTATTTGTATGACACCAGCTGTGTATAAGATATGATGCAGAACAAACCCAAATATTAGTGCCTACCTTAAAGCATTTTCGCAAAAGGTTTTGCTTCCAGTGTGTGGCCATCCTGCCCCTTTAATCATGAACCAAGACAGATTTTGCTTGAAAAAGACTCCTCAGCAGAACATATATTTTTTGAAATAATTTAGCTCACTGCTCAAGGCTCTTTTGTTCTTCAGGGAGCAAAGTCATAAGAAGTTTATCTACAAATGCAAGGGATGCCATGGGAACCACTGCATTCAATGACTCTTCTTTTTCCCTTTCTTTGTATTTTTGTCCAGTTACACTGCTAGGACTTATATTTACTGGGTCAGTTGCTCTGCCCATCAGCTATAGTTCCTATTAACCATGATTTTTTTTTCCTCTAGAAATTATCAAAGTTCATCAAACGGGTTAGCTAATTCACTGAGCTTCCCTTAACTTTGTTTGCATTTTCCAAGTTCTCAATTAGCAGGTCTTTATCAGTAGTGATTCCAACAGTGTCTTCACCTTTACTAATTATTCAAACTTCACTTATGCATTTTTCATTTTGAAGATAGATCTAACAAAGGAGTTGAATGTCTCAGCCATTTTTAAGTCATTAATTTCTTTCCTTCCTCATTTATTAATGGAGTCTACCATCAATCTAGTGTGGTTTTTTAAAATCTTTATATATTTGCAGAAGCCTTTCTGGTTCCCCTAGTCCCTTTGTCTACCGTTAGATCATTACATTGTCTTTTTCCCCTTGCATTGTCCCTGGAAACTTCAAGTGATTCTGCATATTCTTGCTTGGAAACCATTCCAGAACCTCTTTCTTTTTCCTTTTCTTAATCTTCACTTAATTCTTTCAGTACCCCTCACCTCCCCAACACCTGTATTATTTCTTGTTCCTGGACTTTTGCTATTTAATATTTTAGAGCATTTTTCTTCCAAAACATGTATTATCCTTGTATTCACTTATCTAAGTTTGCCTTCTTAAATGTTCAATACCCACCCAAAACCACCATTCACTTTGCTATTATTTTCACACACTTGTTTCCCTGGTTTACCCCTGCGTTAGTCTGTTATAGAGACCACTGGTAAGTGTTTGGTTCTCATGATTTTTTCCTTTACTTACAGAGTCAACTTTACTCAAAGCAAAGTAGATAGTATAGAAATGCACTACTGCAAACAAGTTGTAAAAGGTCATCACTCGGAACTGGTGGCCTCAGTTACAAAGAAAAGGAAATGAAAAGCCACTTTCAGATCTTGTTCAGTGCCTCTCAGGCTGCCATAATCAGGTGCTGGAAGGACAAGAGGCTTAACGTGCCTCCTACTGCTTCCTTAGAGCCTCCTAGCAGAACTGGGACCCTTTCGTCAAGCTTTATAGTTGGCAGCTGTGAGAAGCCAAGACTTAACAACGTTGTTACTTACTTGCCTTAAAAAACTTTATCATTCTGCTTGATATCACTCATTGTCTCTTTGTAGTATATGTGAAGAGCCAGGGCAGTTCAGAGCAAAGGTCTGTCTAGCCACACATCCTGTCTCCACCATGGAACAGCCGCACGCCCCAAGGAAAGGGATAAATGCAGAGGTGGTGCACTACCCACTACCCTTTCTGCCTTCAGAAATTTGTGGCTCAAGGACTTCCTGAACCAGAGGTGGCGGATTCATGTTTAGTAACCCTTCATAGATTTTTTTCTTCCCTGAATCACTCAGTGGCTTATTGAATACTTTGTGCATTTCAGCACACAAAAAATTTCCATGCTTAAAAATGTGTTGTGTGCAGAAAACTCATGGTATCAGGGGATGGAAACTATGTTCAAGAGGCTGAAGCCTAAAATCAGACCATCTTAAGCTTGTTCAGCTGCATTACTTTCCCTTCTTGTTTCTGATTCTGAATGTCACCATTTCTCAGTCTCAGCCAATGCCTTGTGAAAGTTCTGGCATGGTCCTGAGCATGAAGCTAAGCTTCAGGAGACAGCTCCATCTCTCTTTTTGTGACTTCCCACAAAACCCACAGTCTACAAAATGAAAGGCTGAAATATGGCACATATTTTCTCAGAACTGAACCAACAAAAAAGTCATAGAGTGGTCATGCAACAGGCTTTGCAGGTTCCTGTATTTCTCTAGCTTAAAACTTACTAAAGCACTTTGAGGAGCAAAGAGGAAGAGATTGTGTTCGAACCAGGCATCCATGACATGTATCTCTAAAGCAGTTACAACTGACTTGAAGCTGTTATATATAATACTTGGGGTTAATAGGACCCATCCCAAAACACCTTAGTGTATTTTTATGTGACAAGTATTTGACACTTGCATAGCCTCGATCCTCTGGAATCTCTGTGTCATTTGGCCAGCACAACAGTAAGGGCTTCCTAAAACCAAAAGGTATACAGTGTACATAATTTAAATGGTTATGGATTCATTGATACTGTTGGGTTTTGTTTTTTTAATTTTTAACAATTTATTAGTCCTGGTATCACCCACTGTAGATTAGGATCTACCCATACAGAGATGGGTTTCCTGTCAAGGTCTCTAACAGAGGGAAGAGCAATCCCCTGTGCTCCACCCATGTATGGCAGCACAAACAGCCAGTGCACATTTGTGCCACCACCATCCATCACGTTTCCTCTGATCCACTCAGCTGCTTTCTGGAGACTCCAGCAGAGTCTCCTGTAGTCCGTGGCAGTAGCCGGGTCCTCTGAGACAGAGGAGAGCCACTTGCTCTCAGACACATCAGGCACTTTTCTGTGGCTGTAATGGGCAACACAGTGAGATCCATGAAGTCAAGGTGCTCACACAGTCATGACAATATCACTTCCAGCATTAAGACACTTTAATGTTTCCAGTCACAGACTGGTTTCACCTCTTACTCCATTTGCCATAGTGTCAGCTCTGTAACACTGCAATCTCACCAGAGTCCTACAAAGCATTTCCTGGTCCCCCTTAAAATTAGAGACCGTATTTCTTCACAGCTATCATATTTTCACCCACCATGTTGCTTCCGCTTCTACTGGCAATCCCAGACTTCTAAAATACACACCTTTCTGCAATTGCCTTAATGCAATTACACTGGAGTTTGATTACTGCCTTCACAGAGTCTCTCTTGCAAAAGTCTTTGGAATCTGCGTATGTCTTTTTCTTCTTTCTAGGCATAATTTATATGTTGCTGAATCATAAGTAAGCAAAGATGAGTAAGTGGTGCATGCCAGTCTCTGTTCTTGTCCTCTTCAGTTTGTATACTTACAAGGCAGGGATGGGCAGGACTCATTAAAAAGAGGAAGAATTTATCTCTGAAACCTCAAATCAGTCCTATTTATTTAGGGATAGTTACGAAAAATATCTTGCCTTATTTATCATGGTGGGCAAATATAATGGAAAAAACCATAATCATAAAACATATCTCATTGCATAGCAGAACATGTCTTTCAAGTGGAATGGATGAGATTAAACCTCAAAGCTCTCATTAATGCGATTGGAAGCTTGATGCCTAATTCTCCTTGATTATGCTAAAAAATTCAGAAAAAAAAATAAAAAAGATCTCATTTCAGAAAGCCAGTTGGGGCTGCTAACAGATAAACATGCACTTTCCTGTCATCATTTGCCAAACTGAAGCTTTTAAATCAGGGAAGGAATAGTCAAGGACATCATAAACCTTTCCAAGCCTGCTTACATAACAGACAAAGCCTTTATCCCAAGTATGAAGAATTGTGTGTTCAACCACTATATAGTAACCTTAACCTTACCCTGTAGCTTGTTATTTTTATGTAAATTTTATTATCCAATATTAGCAGTTAATTATTATCACCTGAGGGTCTTTGTTATAGAGGCAATTTTGCTTGTTAATGCATATATTTCCTGAAAACGTTTGGGGGCACAGGGTTAGAAATTTCTGTTTTTCCAGAATAATGCTGCAAGCACCTTGTGGGAGCTAGATCCAGCACCTCCCCAAGGCAAAGGAGCTGCTGATGGCATTGTGAGCCTCACTGTTGGGTACCATTTCTTCAGCAAATAGAGCTTGCCTGCTAATTTTTTAGGACATTTACAGTCTGAAAGTTTTGGTGCTTTCAGTGAGCTGCCTTTTTTTTTTCCCACTACAAAACAGAGGCAAAGCAAGAAAAGGCCAAATAAATATTTAACGCCCATGGCCACATCTCGTACAGCTGGATGCTGGGCTGCGTCTGCAGCGGGCGGAGGAGCCCCTGCGATGTTATATCCCCACACGGTGTGTTCCATGCTGTAAGTGGGAGCAGCTGCTACCCTGGTGGGACAGGGACTCTTCTCCGATGCACTGCAAGGCTGAGGACACCAGCCAGGTGATGCTTGACGTGTCCTGCAAATGCTGGCCAGTGCAAATGGACGCGTTAAACCCAATCTTCTTTGCAGAGCTCTCTGCTGACCATGGCTCATCAACCCCCCCAATGCTCATAAATATCCTGTAATTGTGTTGTCCCAGATGCCCGCTTTTCTGATACCTCTCCTCCCACTTGGCATGCCATAGATTTTTAGAAAAGTGGCTTCTACGAAGCCTTCCTTTTGTCATTTTTTATAGTCTGAGGTGGTTGTTTTTAAAATAACTCCCATTTCTCTGCGCCTTTGAGGGTCTGCTACTTCTGCTTAGTTTCAGTAGATTTGCTGCTCCTTATTATCTGCTCCAGTGCAATCAGAGAGAACTTTTTAAAATTTCATTCCCACCCCCTTCCCTTGAGGCAAAGAAATCATTTAGGCCTACAGCAATATTAAAGTTCATCTGTCACTCCCTTTCCACTCTTATCTATCAATGACTGTACTCCCTCTGGGCTCTGTTTGTTTGCCAAGAACATATTTAGGGAGTCTGTTATTTGTCTTTCCTTCTTTTGCAGGTTTAACTCCATCTTAGCATTTTATTTCCTTGTCACACCTCTGCAGCCATTTGGGTGTTGGCTCTCTCTTCATTCTCCTTCTCAGGAAGGTCCTGAGGTGAGTGGCAGAGAAAAGCCTGTGTGGAGTGAAAACACAGACCAAGCCAGGCCACGTCTTTCTCTCAGCTTCACTTGGCTTTGGCCACTGATGTGGTAATTCCAGCTGTTTCTGTGCAGGTAGTGGTCTCAAGTGGGATGCCCAGAGACTTTCCCCTGCAGAGGAACCTCTTCACTGTTCTTCCCCAATATCCTTGGGGCAGGAGGGGAAAGTGCTTCCCTCTGATTACCTAAATTTCCATATCCCATTCCATTAATTTGACAAATTTTTGCCACCTGTCAAAAACAGGAAATTGGATTTGACCTAGATTATGATCTCTAAAAATAATTATTGGTCGCAAGCACTCCCATCTCTTTGTAATCTGAGTATTCATTATCATCTTGATTAATTCTGATGACAGGATGGCATAGGATACCCTGGAGACATGAGACTTCCTCATTTATCTAGTTCTTAGGTTAAGTGCGAACACCTTCAGATAAGAAAAAATGTATAGCACTTGCCCCGCTGCCATCAAACACTTTCATGCTTAATATAGTCTTTTAGCAAACTGGTGGTATTGAAACAAACCCCGTGCCTTTGTGTAGACATGAAATGATCTATTTTCTTTTGTAAATAGAGAAATTACACTCAAATGGGTAAACTAAAATGTTAAAAAAGCCAAATAAATTAAGCAGCAAAATGAATTCTAAAATATATGGAAAACCAGATTGTTTCCAAACTCACCAGCTACAAATTGATATTTGGCCACAAACTGGTGGTATCCCAGTTTTATTAATAACATTTAAAGATAGCCCCTTTCACACAAGTAAAATAACACATCCTAATTCATGAGAAAGCAGGGGATAATCCAGGACTCGATACTAGGTAGGTAAATAAAGTAAAAAAATATTTGAAGAATTAATATCAACACATAATTCTTGTGTTTATATTATTGTGTTATACCTCAGGTGGGGATTTGATAGGGTTATCTTCACCTGCTAGGGCCTGTAAGAGTTCTAGCCATGTAGTCTCTTTAGAAAGGTCATTTATGCATTTGTCTTTAAGAAATCAGATTTGTGCTATTGATTGCTAGATTGTGAAGGAATGAACAGATTCCTCCTGTCATTTCAACCTTCTGTTTTCCTCCCCCTTCCCTTCATTACAGGTACTTCCAATACCTGTGAAGGCTCCCAGCTGCACTCGGGTCTCTCTGCTACCCTTTGCCCTTTCCTGATATTGTATTTCTGGAAGGATCAGGTTGCAGGCAAGAGTCACTGAGCTCCAGGCTGCTCTTTTATGCCCAGTGTGAATCGCAGGATAAGCCCTCTGGGCTTTCCTTACGTTTATACAAATTAAAGGGAAAAAATGAGATTCTCAGCAGTGGCACGACATCTCCCCCGACCAGGTTATGGCAGTAGCATAGAAACTCCTGCAATACTTTGCACACAGCCAAACCTTTGTCTCCTCGCTCTATTTTCCACCTAGTTTGCAAAAGCCTGTTTTTCTCCCTGACCTTTGGTTTGAGGTGCTGTAGTGCCCAATACCTTCACACATCAGCTGGCATCCAAACCACCGACAGATCATGAAGGGGAGAAATACTCTCCCCTCTGTCTCTCAGACAAGTTTCAGTTCTCCCGCTTGTCCCTGACAAAGTTCCTAAATGTTACTGATGATCCAGGGGTTGGCCAAGATTACCCTGTTCATTTTACACTCTTTGTCTTCATTGTTTCATGCCAAAGGCTCCAGATGGTGTCTGTACCATTGTGTATTGCATTTATTTTGTGAGCAGAGCCCAGGGTCGCCTGAGTCCATATGAACACCAGTCCTTGCTGTCTAATTAAAAAGACCTGCGGCTATTCCTTGTCCTTTATATCCAGAACAGTGACTTAGCAAATGAGAGTGCAATTATCATGATATTTACATTCCATCCCATTATGAAGCCCATCAACCAGATTTGCAAATTCATAGCACTACTGCTTTCTGGAGTTCATCCTGAGTAACTGCAAAATATACCTCATTACATTATACTGTGAGATGAGCATAGTGGCAAGAAAAAAAGGGCCAATGTGCACATAAAACCATTATTGGGCATATATGGGCAAAGTCTCAGCTAATGTAAATCAGCAGAGCTCTATTGAAGTCAATGAAATGACAACCTACATAAACCACAAACCCAGCCCAGTACATTTGCTCACATGCATTAGAATCGTGTTTTGAGTCACGCATGAGGATTCTTATACATCTAGTCTGTTTCTGTAAGCTCAGTATTTCTCTGGAAAGCTCATCCCTTCTCTCCTCAGCAGTTCTGATTGCCTCTTGGCTACCTGGGGGCTTCTCCAGGCTCCAGTTTAGGTACCTGTGGTCTCCCTCTACCTGCACTCTTCTGTTTCATTTCTAGTCTTCTGTAGTGTTTGCTTGCTTACCATTTGCACATCTCTCATTAAAAACTGGGCCTTGACAGAAAGAGATGAGCAGATGTGGGCAAGTAACATTTTATATATATGTATGCTGCTGCTTGCTAAGGCAAAGTTTGCTTGATGTGGATATAAACAAACAGAAAGAGCTTTCCTGTAACCTAGCATAGTATAGTTCTCGTCATAGTGAAGCAGCATAAATGAGGGTACAAATTATATTGAGGTGGAGGTTCAGATTTATAATTCTGCAGAGACTAAGAATAAAAACATAAATGCACTTTCATTCTAATGTGCCTTTATTCACTTGATTTAAAGCTACAGCAAGCTGAAGTGACCTTAAATCATCCAGGGCTTATACCATTAAAAAGTCACATGTGCAATGTTCATCTTCACATGTTTAGTAACTTTCCAAATCAGCATTCATTGGAGACCATCAGCTTTGTGAGAGACTAAGATTAGGAGGATATGGACTGGAAACCTTCCTTTAAGCTGTAAGTCTGGATGTCTGAATGCAAAGGAAAAAAAACTATTTGCTAAATCCTGATTTTATCTTCTAGCCTTTGCATTCAATGGCAAACTCCTTTGTTTAGTGCTGAAGAATTTTCTCTCCAGGTGGGAGGGTAGCGTCTTCTTGAGCCAAGATCCCTGCTGCTTGAAGATCAGACAGCAGGGGCAGCTCGGTTTAAGAGCCTGGCAGCTGGCACATTTTTCCTTCCCCGGCAGGAACTTGAGGATTTCATGGTTTTTAACACAATTCGCCAGCTGGGATTGTGTTTTCTGATCAGTCAGATCGGAAACCACTCCATGTCCCCTTTTCTCCTTACTTCACCATCTCAGGCTGATATTTGCACACTCGGGTCCAACATCCAATGCCACAGTGGGGCTGCCACACCCCTGCATACTCACAAACCAAGGAAACTGCTTTGTGCCATTGTAATCCGCTGCTGTGGGCTTTTTTGTACCAATAGCCTCGAGTCCTTCACCAGAACAACAAGATGCAGCTCGACCATCAAGCAAGAATCCTTTGACCTGGACGGTGGATGATGTGGTTTGGTTTGTGAAGGATGCAGACCCCCACGCTTTAGGTCCCCACGTGGAGCTCTTCAGAAAACACGTATGTAGAAGGCTGCCCTTACCACTTCTGGGTAATTTAAGTCCCAAGAGATAGCCAGTGCATGTCTCACATGTACTCTCAGCTGCCTTTGGCTGCTACAGGCAGTGTTTGTGCTCAATCAGGTTGAACACAGGGCCCTGCGAGGGTGGCTCTCTGAGGGACTTGTGCTGAGGAAAATTCACTTATCCCTTGAGAAGGTAGTCAAACACTGGAATGGGCTTCCTGGAGAGGTGGCCAATGCCCCAGCCCTGTCAGTGTTAAAGAGGCTTTTGGAAAGTGCCCTTAATAACATGTTGTAATGTGGTCAGCCCTGAATTGCTCAGGCAATTGGACTAGATGATCACTGTAGGTTCCTTCCAACTGAAACAGTCCTATTCTGTGCTATTCTATGATATACTATGCTATTCTATCCATTTATCCTTCAATGGGGAGACCCTAACAGTGTCTTTATAAAATGTTCACTATTTGTTCCCAACTACTAGAGCATAAATTGTTTCTATGCCAAGTCTACAAAGAAAGAAAGCACTGAGGATCTGGTGCTCATTTTTCATTGTCAGATTGGCACAAAAACCGCCTCAATGACAATTTTTTTCAGAGGATGTCTATGATTCTTCTCTGAAGACCATTTTTTATGTGTCTCCAGATGTTTAGCAGGAGAAACCTAAAACAACCAAGCTTTTAATCCTTTTAATCCTTTTCCCCTCAGTATTATGTAACTACATAACCAAATTTAACAGACCTGCTGACTCACTGGAGGATATGGTAGTTGCTTTTGTGATGCAATCTCCAGTGATGGAAATTATATTATTCATCCTTAGTAAAGAGGAAGACTGTAAACTCATCTGATCTGAAATTTCTTGTTCTGCTGCTGCACATGAAGTTGGCACCAGTGTATCTATTAGCATCTTTGGCCTTCTCCATCTGTCTTTGATCAATTCAGTCTGACCATGAGAAATGGATTTTATTGTAAAAGTGACTTGTTTGTGTTCAGCTGGAGGTCATAACTTTGAATGTAAGTGCCTGGACCTGGGTCTAAATGAGAGTTGCTCCCCAGCCCTGAGTCCTGAACAGCACTCCAGGTGCTGCAAAGCAAACGAGAGGGTTTGGTGACTAGATCTCACTCCTTGCCATGTGCCAGCAACAATAGGTAGGAATGTGGGGCTACAGACAACAGCTGAGGGAGACAAATTATGGACTTTCAGTTACACTCTGGATGCAGGATTTCCAGATACTGAGGAGAGGAGGTGACTGAGGTGAGCAGATGAAAATGAAGATGAACACAGGCCTTAGTGTCTGCTTACCCTAAGAAGGTATTGAGGTCATCTGCCATTCTGTAGACAGGCCTGTGGCATGAGAGCAACAGCAGGCACAGTGGTGTTATGGCCAAATCTGCAAGTACAGGTCAGGTGCTGGCCTACTTTTCCTGCTTTCTGCAGAGAAGTCAGATCTGCCTTCTAAGTTGATAATGAAAACATGGCCTATTTTGGTCATGTGGGCAACCAAGTAGACAAACAAGCCACCTTCAGATTTGAAGTAACTTGCTTTAGAATGAGTTTCTGAGAGTACCAGAAGGGGTTGTGCATCATGCAAGGCAGAAATATGTACATCCCAAAGGAAAAAAAATACCAAACATTTAAAGTTGGTCTTGTAAATATGAAGAGTGCAAAAGCACTAGTTTTTTCTAGTTTCCACTTGTAGCAAAGTATGGCACAACATGCTTTTATGTAGCAGCAGGGCAGTGGCACAGTAACAGGCAATCATGGGCCAGCTGCACTAGAGCATGCCATGATACTGCAGCTGCTCTATGACTGAAGAGATCAAGCTAAATTACCACTAAAGACTGTCCCTGTCATCCTTTGCTGCACACCCAGCACCCATAGGCTCTACTTATCATTGGTTTCCTGGTAAAATATGCCACAGGTGTGAGAACCTGGGTATGATTGCCACACAACTCAATTCAATTACACCTTTGAGTTATATATGTCCCTGCAAATTCTCAGCCTTCAAACTTCATCTGGATTAGCACAAAGACCCCGGGGTGAGAGACAAGTGATTAGTCCATTAACCTCAGCCATATCTTCCTGTATGTTCAATATTTATGTGAAGAGGGTGCATAATTTACTTAGAAGCACTTACTGTCATTGACAAGGCCCAGCTATTGCCCGAAATAGTTGCATTGGCAATCAACTCATCTGAGTTATGACACTGGGAGGGGGAGGCTGGTGGGACCAGCAGGAAGAAAAGGCTGGAGGATGTATCCTGCATGCAGACAGTATGCTTTCCCACTGCTCTATTAGGCTATTTGGGTGTTGACCTCAGTCCCCGGAGCCAGCTTTTCCTATATGCAGCCCACATGCTTCACTGGCACAACAGGTGCTGCAGGATGATCTGGCTCTGCCTCTCTCTTTCCACCAGGAGCAGAAGCTTTTCTACTTGCCAAGACACCCAAGGAGCTCTGTCACAGGTAGCTCTTGAGAGTGTCTACCAGAGACTGAGAAACATCCTACTAGCTCCCCTCCACTGTTCCCTGCTCCCTCACCATGTCTGTGTACCAAGGAGAGCCAAACTCATTGATGACAGAGCTTTTGGTCTCATGGAAAGGAGCCATCAGCCTGGCCAGGGATCTTGTAGCAACACTGTGCACCATGCAGTGCTCTATCAGCAGGAAAGGGTTGGTAGAAAGATTAGGGGAAGGGAAATGGCGAAGTGGAAAGAGTTACACTGGGAATTATCAGGTAGAAAACTCAAGCTGGAAGGGATTGAAGGAATGTTATGGTCTGACAGTTTAATTATGGCCAGTGATTGGCAAATGCATACCTGAAGGGGACAAAAAACTTTGAGTTTAACATATTCTAATAGCTACCTATCTCTGACAGTACTAGACATTAGATTTATGAGCACGTGTCTTTCTCCAGATCTCGGTCTCAAGTGTCTGAGCACTGACCACTGAGCTGCCACTTGCTGCGCTCCTGTTGCAGGTGGTGGCCTTACCCAGGGCTGGTGTCTGTTCATGACACTGTAGAATACCAAAGAAGGGAAAGACATGTCTATATCTATATCCCAAGCATGATATAGATCCTGAAATCTTTGATTTTACTTAGATTTAAGTGCTTAAACACCCATGAAGGTGGGTACTTTCATCTTACTAAAAGAGAAAGAGGTGTCCCTCAATCTGGGGGACATCCACCACTGGCTGCAATTCTCGTTCGCATGGCACAGAGCTTGTTTAGGGGCTACTCTGCTTTTTGAACAATATCCTCAGAACAAGTGCTGCAAGAGGCCAGCACAAACACAGTATTACTCATTCATGCAGGAGGAAACTATATGTTCATATCCACGCTATCATGATTTCACAGCTCATATGTTTTCTGTGTCCATTGTCTTGCAGGAACATGATAATGATCTCCCGCAATATTCTGACTTGCAGTGTTCCAGGTCTCAATGCATGTGAAACAAGCTAATTGCACTGATGGCACTGTATTTTACCAGCTCCTAACTTGGCTCAAGATCTTCTGGTGGGGCTATTGCAGATGTGGGGACCATGCTATCAAATTCTTCTTTTTTAAATTATTTTTAAAACGGCTGACACAGTAATACTGTAAAGAAGCCAAGCCAAGAATCTGCACAGAGACATGGCTAATATGGGATATTTAATTGGATATAAATGCTCCCTTGGGCATACTGTTGTCATCCAGTTTAATTTTGACCCCTATGCAGTAATAATAATGGAAATAATAAAATGCTGAACTCAACATCTAGAAACAGCTGTCTCTGCACCTAAACCTCAACAGTGTTTTCGCCCTATAGCACTACAGTTATAGGAGATCTTTTTTTATTTCTTATGCAAATAGTAATTATACATAACACTTATTCTTACTTTACCTTAGCTTCCTTAAGATAATGGGAAAGAGAGGGAAGGTGAAGAGGGTTTCTATTATGGATAGAGTGGGGGTTGCAAAATGAAGACCATTAATTGATTGAGTTAATCAGAAAGTGACCTTAACTGCTCATCAGCTAAATCACCTACTGAATGGAATAATAATGACCAGGGCAAATTAGGATCCATAGCATTGCTTAATAAGTAGACAATGGATTAGAGTGGAAAGATCTGACCATCAAAATCACAGAATACAATATATATAGCATTAGAGTGTGTGTATATGTGTGTATGCATATGTATGCATACACTTGTGATGTTTTAGCTCTGATGGTCCAAGTATGTAAGCATGCTGGAGACCATGGGGAGGGCAAGTACTTTTTAGCAGATCCACTAATATAGTCAAGAAAAAAGAGACTGGGTCCAAGGAAGGACAGTATAGCTGTGTCATGGTTTGAGATAGCCCCAACATCTAATTCCCTAACTCCATTCCCCCTCCCACATCTCAACCTAATGTGAGATGGGTTTTTCCAGACAAAACACACCAGACTCCAAAGTGGGGAAAAGGGAATATATTACAATGACTGTACAAATAAATATAACATCACATTATACACATGATCATAACTATCTCTACCATGACATATGTATTTACAATGGATCAGATCTCTTCTCCCCTCCAAATAAAAGTCCAGGAGGGAAAGAAGGACAGATCCCTTCCAGTCCTTAAGCAGCAGCATCTTCTGAGGCAGCAGGTTTCTTCTCATCTCATGCAGCAGCTGATAGCTGGCTTTTCTGCCAGCATCCACGAGGGAGGTATCCAAGCCTCTCTCTCGGCCCCATCGCCTCACAACCGAGGGGTCTTCCGTGGGCTTCGTAACCCCAGACAAGGTCGTTTCACCACGTCATATCACGAAGACACAGGGGAGTCTTCGTGACGGTCTGGTATCTCTTGCAGGGCCTCTGTGCCCTGTCTCTCAGGCTGCCACCGTGGCAGCAGTGTGAGGGGGGGGAAGCCAAGGTCAACTCCCCCTGCATTCCTCTCGGAGCTCTCTAGCTCCTTTCTACAGTGCATGTCGCACTTCAAGGCTCTTTCAAGTAAGAGTCCATCATCTTCCTCCTTCCAGGAGGCCTCAAAGGAGTTTTGGGGATCTGGTATCAGTCTTACCCCCAAGAACTCTGTAGCTCTCAGCTGCTGGCTCTCCTTTCCTCGACTCTCCTTCCAGGAGTCTCCTCTGCAGTGCTGCATGTTGCTTTTGCTGCTTCTTCAGTTCAGGTTCTTATCTCTGGCTCTCTGCCACTGTTTCTCTGGTCAGCGTCGGCTGCTGCTCTGTGCCCATGGAGAAAAACATCTCCCGGCATAACTACAGGCACCTAGCCCAGCTTTATGCTGTTCCAGGTCCCTGCAGCCCCCCAGCCAGGGCTGGGAGGGGGGCCAGAGGGCCCAAGGGGCTCAGAGCCCCTTCCTCGTGGCTCTACAACATGGCCACCTCTCCTACAACAACCAAACTACAACTCTTCTTTTCCAGTCTGGTTGTGATATGTTTACATTTCTGCAGGAGCGTCCATTGGGCAGAACTTCAAAACTTCCAGGGGTTTCCACCCCTTGGGGTCTACCACTTCTCTTAGCCTCTGGGGAAAAC